CAGACAACTTCTCTTGTATATATTTATATTTAGATGTGGACCGATGGGATCATTCATCTTTACAGACTGGCTGGGCTAAAGTTTTTTAAATGTCACTATTAACACTAAAACTTAAATTATGTCTTATGGTGATTTATGTTTTGTTTTTTGTCTGGTATTCAAATATTACCCATGTCAGAAGAGAAACATGGGCTATGTTTTCAGTTATAATAATAACTAGAAGGTACAATGATTGGGATCTGTGAATAAGATTTGTTGTTTCTGGTTCTATGAAGGGAACAAATAAACATGTGCAGAGCTGAGACAGAGTGTAGTGAAAAAGAAATCACAGTCAATAGGCAGTTTGAAAGAGGCGGGGAAGGGACTGTCACTTGTGAAAGCTTATACAAGTAATCGATACTGACAAAAAAAAACTACAAACAGAGGTGGTTGATGTAGTAGTACTTCTTAGAGAGATTCTTGATTTCTTTAGCATGTTTCCGGATTGGACTTAGGTCAAGAGAACAGCATTCAGTGATACTTGCATCTCAAGGTAGAAAGGGAGACCCTTTGTGACTTGTGAGTAATGAAATAAATCCAATTGAAGTGTAAAACCGGACCAAGTTTAAGAAGATGAAAATGCCATAAGAAATCCAACTCTTTGACCCCATTAAAGTTGTCTGCGTAATTAACGGATTTGGTTTTGTTTCTTTTGATGTCAGTTTCTTGATAGTAACCATTGATAGAAGTAATCTTCTTGCCAGATACCTCGAGGTGGATTTAGTGTGGCTTGATGGTGAATCTTAATGACATATATAGTCCGATATTATTATTAGTCCATTTAGGGTTGGGCAAATAAACCGAACTCGAAAATCCGAATTGAATCCGAACCCGACATAAATACCTATTGGATCTTGGTTTATGTTATTTCAGATTATGAGTATTATCTAAACCGAACCCAAAGTTAAATGGATATACGATAAAACCCGAAACATTCAAAGTCCCCTAAAAAACATATACTAAACATGATCTCAGTTCCTAATATGAATCCAAATTATACTAAAATATTATTAAACCTCTAAAATAAATATCTGTTACATGAAGATAGATTTTGGTTTTGTATTCATTGAATAATGTTTCTTCTTTCATGAGAATTTGGTTTTTGTTTTATGCTTTCATTTATTTGGTTTTCTTTCTAACAATAACTATGTTTAACTTCCGTTTGATTTCGAGTGATCACGTTTTGATGCTTTTTCTTATTTTTGAATCGATTTTACTTATGTTTTGGTTACAAAATATGTACAAGTCAGATATTTTAATACCGAAGAACCAATTTTACTTAGGTTTTGATTACAAAATAGGTAAAAATTAGGTATTTTTTTAATCGAAGAACCAATTAGGATCCAAATCCGAAAGTATATATGTTTGTACCGGTTCTCTAAAGATTTATTCTCTAAAGATTTATTAACCCCAAGCTGAACCCGAAAGAATCCGAACCGGTCTCGAACCGAATTTTCATATAATTCGAATGGACTGATTTTGATAAATCCGAAAAACCAAAACTCAATTGGACAAAATCAAAACCCGATTGGGACCCCGAATGCCCATGCCTAAGTCCATTTGACAATCTCTAATATATTTTAATATTTTTCTTTTAAAATGTATATTCTTATGTTGACCAAATTTTTTTTGTACATTTTTATAATACAAATGAAGGCTATTCTAGTATACAATAAACTAATTTATATTAAAATATCTTTTAATTTTATAAAATATTTAAAAATAAGAAATATTTTTTTTATTCTAAGATTATATTGTAAATTGTATCAAATATTTCTAATTGAGATGTAAATGTAACGATTTACATTATTTATTTCACTTTTAAAACAAAAATAACTGATACATTTGTTCGAAGAGTTTTAAATTTTAATATTTTACCCTAATAAATTTCTCACAATAATTAATTAACCCACCTCCAAGCTAAATCAACTGAAAATATAATGTAATGTGATAAAGTTATAAAAGTTTATATTTAAAGTACTATATAAATAGTTGCAATAATGTCACAGATAATAATTAATATATTTTATTTAACAACAAATGATGTATTATATACATTTGTTTCAGTTTATCTTAGATTTTCAATTTATAATTTTTCCAGTGTTTTATTAACTATCTTTGTAAATTATTTTAGCCTTTGTTGCACTTTGTTTTATAACAAACTATTAGCTGAAATTTTTTCATAAATTAATAAAGTATTATATTTTTAACTGATGTTTACTCGAGTTTCATACCACAGCATATCAAATAGTTTACTTCAATTAAGTCAGAGTACACAAAAACGTAATTTAACCAAAATAACTTAAATGTATTGTAATCGTTAGTAATCTGGAAATGAACCAAAGCACATACAAATAATTTTTAAGAAAATAAAAATTCAAAGATTAAACCTAAAAGAAGTAAATCAGTCCTCTATTTTTTTCAGTGTTGGCTGTTTTGGTGTTGACTTCTTATTTGTTTGGGTCATCTTTTAGGTATTAGTATGATAATGCTGGGGATTTAGAAAGTTGAATTTCTGCTAATACTTTAGGAAGATTTTCAATGTCTTATGTTGTTTTAGTTTGTGTTTTGTTATTTTGATTTTCAATGAATATTTTTGAAAAATTCTAACATTACCCGTTGAAATGTCTTTTCAGAATCTTTTTAAAATTTATTTTTAAAAATTTATTAATTAAAATACTAATTATCATGAAATATAATTAGAGGTTATAATAATTTAATTTTCATTTATAAACTAAAATTAAAATTAAATATAATTTGAATTATATGTAATGATAATAAAACTGATTAATGTTGTTAGTCGTAAAAATAGGAGCATTTGTAATATTAAATGTAAATTAAGAGAAATTCAAAAAAGATCTCATATTTTAATTGTATTGATATATATATTCTAGTGAAATATGAATAAGTCCAAAACTTAAATGTCAACATTAATAAGTAGATAAAATATATGACTGTATTTTAATAGATTAGAAGATATCACAACCTTTTGTTGGTTACTTTTCACATCAAAATGCAGTAAATCCTGAAAAACTAAAGAATTGTAGTACAAAAACAATTTCAAGTACACGCTTGATCCTCTTTAAACAAAACAAGATTAATTTTAATCACCTAAATGTACACACGTTTCACTTTTACAGATTTCCTCACAATACAATCGTTATGTTTGTAAATCCACTCAGACATTATTAAATTCTTATACCAAAAGATAATTATTTTTAAAAAGACATGCAAATGCTTTTACATGATGTTACATAACTGAGTTTACAAGCCTCCGAGTTTACAAGCATCGCAGTTTCAGAACAATCAAATGCAACAATATGGAAGGCACTTATAAGTTCAAAAGAAAAAAGACTATGGAAGGCACACTTAACAAATACTGTACGTTTGTGCAAGCATGATCCTTTTACACTAATTAAAATGAATTAAACAAATCTAGAATGACTCTGATACCACATATAAAACTATAAAAAACATTCAACTCTTAAAGGATGATAGTGACGGTTTTGAGTTTGAAAAGATACAATGCTACCAACATTGAGATGGTATAGTGATAAAGGGGTCGCGGTTGTATTTTCTGTCACTTGGATTCAACTCTTTCAGATTATTTACAATGTTTGGATTCTCGGTAAAGAGGTGAAAAACAATTTTTTTTTAACCAAAAAAGGATACAATGCTTGAGGGAAAATAATTGGGAAATCTTTGAAGACCTATGATGAAGATATTATTTGCTAACGTGATCGATGGCATCATATCCTTCATCTTAAACAAAACTAGATTTTGACCCGCGCTTGAAAAGCGCAGAAATTTTTTATGATTAAAAATTAAAATAATTGAATTTTGTCTTAATTTAAAAAATGTTTTGGTATAAAATTAGTTTACCAAAATTTGTGGTGATAGTTGTTTTTCATTAGTTTTTAGTTTCAGTTTTTATTTTTAGATTTTGTTTTAAATTTTGGTTTTTGGTTTTTAGTTTTTAAGTTTCTATTTTTGATTTTCAGCTTTTGGTTTGGGTTTTTAATTTTTAGACCCGCTGAGATAGTTTGAACTGATATTACCAACAAACAAATCTCAATTAATCGAACATGTAATTTAAAACTGAAAAGATGACAAAATAATTTTCTAAATATTTTTAAATAGTTTATTTTGTAAATAAAAAAGCAAAAAATATAACCTGCGTTTTCAGCTTTTGGTTTTGGATTTTAGTTTTTAAATTTGGTTTTTGGTTTTGCTTTACATTTTTTTTAAATCTGTAAATTATTTAAGAAAAATAAAACAATAAATTATTTAAAAGTTACCATTAAAATTTATCAAGATAGAGTGATTGTTATTTAAAATAAAAAATATTAACATGTTTTAAAGTACATGATTTAAATAAGTGATTAATAATAGATAATTTTGTTTTGTTGAAAATATTAAATATTTTTGAGCTAAAAAATATTAACATGTTTTAAAGTACATGATTTAAATAAGTAATTAATAATAGATAATTTTTTTGTTGAAAATATTAAATATTTTGGGCCTGAAAATAGTAATTGATTTTTGATCCATTAAGGTGGAAAGTTTATTTAATGTTTTTTGGAGTTTTTCTTTAATACTAAGCCCAAAAACCAAACAATTAAATGTCATAAAAACAAAAGTAAGCCCAAAACTCTATTCCATAAATAACTGCCGGTTTAATTTAAGTAATGTGGTTCAATCAACTATATAACTTGTATTATTTGTAACACTCTAGAAAGGGTTCAAATTTAAATGACAACTTGTATCAGTAGATAAAAAGAATGACTTTATGATATTTTAATAGAATAGATTCTATCCATTGGATTATTATATCATTGAACAAATCTCATCATTGGGCCTTGTCCCGTGCTGTAGTGTCTAATAATAGGCCTGGACCTATATTATCAGCCCATTTTCTATTTCATAAATTGTGTTTAATTGCCTAATTTCAACAATCGTGAGACTGTACTAAATGATGTACAAAGAAAAATGTGAGAGAGGTTAATAAAGAGGAAGACGCCAAGTATACGCCACCTACCGGTCCCGTCATACACGGCTCACGTTAGCCTTCTTCCAACCATGAATACGGTGGCGTGTTGGCTTGGTCCTCGAAACCAACCACTTTCTTCTCTCTCACCTTCCACTATTTTTATTCCACGTGTCGTTATCATCCTCCACGACGGTGCGTGCCCCCACCACCCCCTCCGCCACCACCGCATAAAAGCCTTTTCCCCTTTTATTACCAAAACTTCTGCTAATGCACGCTTCTATCTAAAAACACCTTATCCTCCGCCTCCCACCATTATCATGCGCCTCTCCTCCACTTTCTCTCTCTCTCCCTTATCTCCTCATTATTATTACCTGAAGTCGCCGCCGCGTAAAGACATCGAATCATAACCGTTTCTCTCTTCACGAGAGATCTGACATTATTTCTAAATCCTCAAAATTACCGATCTTGTCTGAACCGAATCGATCCATGTCGGATCCAGATTCTCCGTTACATCAAGATCCGTTACCAAACCAATCGTCTCCGCCGCAGCCAGATCCGAAGATCGCCTCCACCACCCCCGCGGCGTCCAAATCCTCCAGACGCTTGCCTCCGCCGTGCTGGACGCCGGAGGAGACCGTGGCGCTAATCGACGGCTACCGCGAGAAATGGCTGGCTCTCAACCGCGGGAACCTCAAGGCGAACCACTGGGAGGAGGTCGCGGAGGCCGTCGCCGGTAACTGCCCCGGCGTGACGCCGAAGAAGACCGCCGTTCAGTGCCGGCACAAGATGGAGAAGCTGAGGAAAAGGTACCGCACGGAGATCCAGCGCGCGAGATCCGTGCCGGTGGCGAGGTTCGTGTCCTCTTGGGTCCATTTCAAGAGGATGGAAGCCATGGAGGATCGTCCGGAGAGGAATTCCGGCGGTGGGGAGGAGGAAAGGGACGAGCTTTACGGCGGAAGGTCAACAACGCCGAGGTTCTTTAACAGGAACGGTGGGGCCGGCGGAGGGAGCGGTGGGATTAGGATTCGGATTCCGACGGGAGTTAGTATAGCTCAGCCGGGTCCGAGGTTTCCCGGTAAGATTGATCCGAAGTACACGGCGAGTGGGAGTTCGAGACTTGGTCGTGTCGGAGCAGGGTCTAGTTTTGGAGGTACAGGAGGGAAACGAGGGAGGGAGATGATGATGGAGGAGGAGGAGGAGGAGGAGGGTGATGATCCAATGGTGGAGATAGCGAGTGCGATAAAGCTACTTGGAGATACGTTGTTGAGAACAGAGGAGAAGAAGATGGAGATGATGAGGGAGGTGGAAGCGATGAGGATGGATATGGAGATGAAGAGGACGAAGATGATATTGGAATCTCAACAACGATTGGTTGAGGCGTTTGCTAAAAGCATGTCTGAAAATTTGGAGGAGGTGAGGAAGAAGAAAGCAAGAAGAATATCTTCCTTACCTGATGACTCTTGAATCTCAATTGTATGTTCTTAACATCATTAATGTTAATGTATGTTGAACTTATGAAGTAGGGAGTTTTAAAGCCAATCTAATTATGATCAATTTATCCATAGTTGGTTTCCATGAATACATAGAATGAAGAAAGTGTTTAGATTATAATTGAAAAGTGACATCAATGGAGTATAACTTCTGCATTGGCTCTTTCAATAGAAGGTTCTCTTTAGTGTTTAGAGCTTATCACATAGAGAGCAAACAACTAATAGGCTGCTTATCACATAGAGGGAAAAACTAATAGGCTGAAGAACATTTTTAGTCAAATAGTAAAAGTTAATTTTTGTGAAGACGTAAATCTATTGTTCAATTTTTTGGAACAAAATTGCTCTCATATTTAATCAGTTGGGGTGTTGACTTTATTCCATTCAGTTTAGATGATATTCTAACAACCGACGATATGATTATTCATGACAATCATTCAAAGTCATTTCAACTTCAGATTTAACAAAATAGTAATAAATATGTTATTTCTGTGATCGACTACATCAGCAGATAGGACAGAGAATTTTCTTGATCAAAAGTGTGTGCGAAGATAAGGGCCAATAAGAAAGCCCATTTATTGTTGTTACAAAAAAAAAAAAAAAGAAAGCCCATTTATAACTAACAGAAACTAAAATAACAATAAATCAAAGAGAAGAAAACAAAACAGTAGAAGAAGAGAAGAAACCACCGGGAAAAAAGCAGAGCACTCTTTACCTCTTCTTCTTCTCTTTCCTCTCCCTCTAGATTTCACCGTTGATAAGAAAGTCCAAGACTTTGAATCAAATCCGAACTTTACTATCAAACTATGAACAAAGATCAAAGCGTAGGCATAATGGGCAGTGGTGGGTCATCGAGATCAGACTTCCTCAAACGGAGCTACTAATCGAAAACGAATCAACGAAGCTTTCGACAAACATCTCAAGAAAACTTCACCTTCTCTCACTTCCAAAGACAACCTTTCAACCTCCACCGCTAAATCTGAAACCGATAGCGAAGAAGGTTCTGACGTGAGTGGCTCTGGAGGTGGTGATGATGATGATACGTCGTGGATCTTATTCATGTTTTTTATGTTATGTTATGTTATGTCTGAAGGTTCTGACGTGAGTGGCTCTATGTTATGTCATATGGTCTTATTCAAGTTTGTTAGATTCTTACTACGAAAGGAATGTCTGCAATGGTATGATAGAAGAGTTCTTTATGTTATGTTATATAGTCTTTGTGTTATGTTATATAGTCTTTTTGAATGACGTTGAAGCTCTCTTTGTATTTGGAGAAGTACAAGAACTATGATTTTGGGAGATGTCCTAGAGTTTTCTGCTGCGGGCAGCCTTGTCTTCCTGTTGGGCAATCTGATATACCTAGGTCGAGTACGGTGAAGATATACTGCTCGAAATGCGAGGATGTTTACTACCCGCGATCTAAATACCAATGCAGTATCCTTTTTTCCTTTTATAGTAGCATAGTATGATGCTGTCTACTTGTCTTAGGGTTTTTTGGTTCCTTAATGGTTATTGCAGACATAGATGGAGCTTACTTTGGGGCTACTTTCCCACATTTGTTTCTGATGGCTTATGGGAACTTGAAACCGAAGAAGCCGACTCAAAGCTATGTTCCTAAAATCTTTGGCTTTAAGGTACACAATAAGCAATGAGATAGATACTCTCTCCCCTCACTAGTCCAATGAGTTAACACAATCTTGGGGCTCACTCAACGCTTCCTCCTGATGGTTGGAAGATGAGAAGAGCTTTTGACAAAAAGGTCCAACGTTGAGTTTTATGATTGTAATCTTGGAAGAAACTAAGCTCAGAGCTAATATAGAAAAGTTGGGAGAGAAAGGAAAAGATGGGGTCTTGTAAATTATTTACCTGTGGGGTTTCAATTAAATCAATTACAGATGTGGTTTTGATTTTGCTCAATTGTTGTGTATAATAACTACTGATGAGAGATTTGTCATTGTTATTTAGGTTTTCTTGTGCTCTACGCAACCAAGCCACATAGTTAGATTATAAATGTGTCATTGGCATGGGTTACAAAGTGTTGTTGACTTAGTCTCCTAAATGTAGACCTCTTGAATCATGCAGTCTTATACTAATATATTGGCAAGTCGTTGAATTAGGTGATGATACATCACTGCAACTTCCTGAGTTAACTCAGACTTAGAGATTAGCTACGATTTTCTTAGCAAGATGCGATTCTTTAATCCTTTTTTTTTTTTGTTACGACTTATTTTGATTCTTGAATCATGGAACACAGAACAAACACTAGTACATCAGAAGAATATCTCCACAATCTTCGTAGCTATGAACCAACCACCTAGAAAGAGGCAAGAACTCAACAATGGAAGCTAATGTAGTAATGTGGTGAGAGCACCATATGGGCTCCATTAAAAGCTCATTATGGGCCCAGATATAGCTGTTACTCTGCCTGAGTTTTTAGTTTTTTTTTTAACAGCCTGAGTTCTTAGTTATGTCGGAAAATTCACAACGCAATGAACAATCAGGAACTTTGTATTATTATAACAAAGTTGTAATTGACTGCAGATCAATAATAAAAATTCTCGACTTCTGATGAAGCTAGATCTTAACCGCACAAGTTTAAATAAAATTAGAAGATGAGGAAGATAAAAATTTGAATTTAAAACATAAACATAGCATGCTCTGTTTTTTATTGGATCATCGAACAAAATTTAAAGCCCCCCCCCCCCAGAGATCAATACCTCTATCTCACTCTCACAGAACAAGATCTTACAATTCTTCAGATCCCCGATCAAGAACAAGATAGATAGAAACAGAGCAAAATTCTGCATGTTGTTCAATCAAGAGGTGGTTTAAGGATAATATATATATAGCTTTTAGACAAAAAAGGGTATACACAAAAGCTACATGCTTTGGTTTTCTTATATGTAATAATAAAAAAAGTTCTACTACGCGACCACGAGTGTTCCTGTCCGTACGGTTTTTCCGGTTGCTGAATCCTTTGCAGCTTCAGAAGATTTTTTACGGAGAGATCTAGCAGAAAGCTTCCAGCTTCTCTCCTTGGCTTCATCATATTCAATCTGTTCTTCTCTACACTCATTGCTACAAAACGCCTTGTCTCCTCTGTTTAGAACAAAAATTAAAGAAAAATTTTAAATATCAATAAAGGTAATGACTTTTGCAAATCCAGATCCATGAATTTGATTTTGGTATGATCGGATTAATTTACCTGTACATGTAGATATCGGAGTTAAGACCAAGGTGTTTACGGCAAAGAGAGCATGATTCCAAAAAGTGTGGCTCTTCATTATCGAAAAAACTTGCGTAATTCGAAGCCATTTGGTAATATTATTCTTGACAAAAAAAAAAAAGACTAAAGGTTTGGAATTAAGGAAGAGAGTAGATTGCAGAAGCAGATTGAAGATTCAGCTCAGGGAGGGAGATGAAGAAGAAGGAAATAGGAGAAGGAGGTGGAAGCTGATTGCTTTGGTGGTCCATATATAAAGCCAGCTTTTAGGACTATATTTTTAGCTTGAGTGAATCACCTGTGTCGCGGACCACTATAGTTACTGTGGTCTACAACACATCTGCACCGTTCTTTTTTCTTTAGCTCCATTCCCGAAAGATCTATACGTTAAAGTTCAATAATTCATTACTTTTATTTTTTTTTTTTTTTTTTATTGTCAAAACTTTTATTTTCCTATTAGTGTCTTTTGTACCTAACAAATACTAAATTCATCGAATTATTATTAGTTTGAATTATGAAATAGCTTAAAACATACATTTATAAGTTTAATGTATCTGTTGACAACAAAGTTTGTTTTTAATATATTTTCAGCTTTATATATATATATATATATATTTTTTTTTTTACAAATTGAGGAAGTAGTTTCCTTTGTATATTTGAGCATTGAAGAACATATAAATTTGAAAAAAGGAAGACCATATAAAATTGTTTTTTCATTACAATAATTTGGGTGGATCTGGTTCGACGAGGGGAATCAAACAAGTTTTGTGTTTGTGAGATTCGTTGGCCACGATAACATGCATAACGCATGATTGATGGACTTTTCCTAAATATACTACTAATATTTAACTTTAAACGAAAGTTTCTAAGTTATACATTTTTATATTACTGATATTTTGTACGTAATGCTTTGTAATTTTAAACTGTTATTGTTTGTACTTTGTGCGCGCTCTGAATCTTAGGATTCATTTCCCCTGGACAATGTTTCATTCCATGTGTGTGTGAAAATATAATCACCTAATACCTCGCATTTGTTTACTTATTGTACAACTTGCACTTTAAAAATGTTTCATGAATTCCTTCTGTGGACAATAACGTTTTTACTACTATAGTATATGAGTTTTTGTATTTTGTGATGAAACAAAACATCTTGGTACACGTGTTAAGATCAGTGTAAACAAATCTAAAGAAGCTATTGGAGGAATTAAATATCTTTTCAACCATGTCTTGATTTATTTATATACATGTAAATCAAATTATACAAAAATGTGAAAATATTGTCCGAATCTCTTTGGTTGAAAATATGTAGAATAGCGCCCTTGGCACAATCCAACATTCACAATAAAAACACGTTTCAGTTCCATCTACACTTCCAAATTAAATGCTCTAAGAGCATAGCAGCAAGTAAGCAACGTACGTGACCAGCCTATTTGATTCAGTGTAATAAATCTGATAGTGTTCATTTTTAATCGTGTACATAATCGTGTGTGACGTGTCACATAGGTAGAATTCTATATAAGAAAGTCAGTACCGACTTTTATTTTTTGGAAGCGAGTACGGAGTACTGACTTGGAACTAACATATGCTTATGCTTTTTTATTCATATTATAATCATTCCTATTTGAAATTTAATACTACTATGACTAGTTTTGTTTTTATTAATTATTTAAATGAAGATCACGTCAAGCCCTCATCGTTTCTGAGTAAGCAATGACTCACATTACGAACGGCAAACCATTATATAGGCAAAAAAAAAGTGTATTAATACATACGAAAAATGAAGTTGTCTTGTGATCAATTATTAATAAAGGTCAAAAAAAGAAAGTGGCCCAGGGCCACACAAGTTGTCATATGTCGTCGATACAGCAAGGCCTTCGAGTGGGGAATATCAAATCAAACGAGGAGCTGACTCGACAAAACCCTTTTTAAAAAGAACTAGTAGTATATTAATATTTATACGGGACCCACAATCCCTTTCTTGGGCCCACTAATCGACGTTTTTGTCTCTATGGCCCATAACAGCTGCCACGTGTGAAGAATCTCGCGGGGAGTTTATTATACGTGGCGGTTAACGTAAAGGTCTAAGGTTGCATGGGCATTAAATTCTGTTGCTTTGATTCTACGGTCAGGATTTTGATCTACGAGAATCGTTGGATATAACCGTTGATTTTGCCACTGTAAATGATCTCAGCCGTCGATAATTTCAGATGGTTAGTTATAGGCTTTAGACACTAGCTACTTCCTTTTTGGGCAGTTGAAGGTAATAGGTTGGTAGGAAAATAATTCATATAACCAATACAAATCAACCTACTGCTTAAACCGGTTTAAACCGATACAAATCAAATCTTCAACCGAACCAAATGGGCTGTTCACTGGGCTCATAGTAATTGATATCATTTAAAGATCATTTTGAGACGGTCTAAGATATGCAAAAGATCTTCAAACTAGATTTAAACTAAAAAAGACTGCGCCATGTGTAGCATCTTCTGATTCAAATGGTACAAAACTAAAGAAAGATCTAAAACTCAAAAACTCGAAGCTCGACTATGCCTTCTTTTCTCTTTGGAGAGTACCAAGCCACAAGTTTACCAGACTCAAGAATCCTCAATGAGCTATTCAAACTGTAAGTCAGATCCTCCATTTGTGCACAAAACTTCCCTGCACCAACCTGAAACTGCGAGTCTACTTTGAAAACTATTGGACCTGCAGCCTGCAAAATTGTAGCAAACGTATAAGTAAAAAAAAAACTTTGATCGTTGGACAAGAAGCTGATTAATAATACCCTTTGTTGTAACACCAGGTTGAGTCTGGGAGAATCAGATGTGTCATCTGTTTTGTTACTAACTGAAGATCTTCTAACTGCATTAAAGATTTTTTTAGCAAGAGCGGAAGCTGAGGAAATGTCCACACGAGTATATCTACTCGTGTTAAGTCACCATACAGCTTACCAAACCTCCCTTTCTTGAACGTACAGAACCAGACACATCTGCGCTTATCATACTCCGCTTCTTGCCATTAACCAACATGCCTCTGCCTGTAATCCAAGCTGCTACCTACTACTCCCGAAACTGCTGCATGAGGCTCTTTTAGGCATATATCGTAAGGTAGAAAAACAGGTAGATCATCCTCTTCCTCTTTAGGCCTCCACAAGTCTCTCTTAGTCTTGTATGAAGCTGCAACCTTGGCGCATAAACAAGGCATCGGAGAAGTAGGAGCATCATCACCATCATTCTCACCCTTCAGGGTGAGAATTGCCCTTGCTTTTGTGTAAACCAAAACGGTACTGAAGACCAGACTCTGGAGCAAGCGATGAGACATCGAACTTTAATGACTCAGGAACATCCTAGATCCCCTAAAGGGACTAACAACAAACTTCCCTAACTCCCACATTATTCAATCCCCACGTACTAAATGTACTGAAACTTATACCATGCCTTTCATTAACAAAGAATTCAAATAGCCAAGAAGGATGCCCCACCCTGAGTTGACCAATCCCAGCTTCGTAATGCTTTGAGCAATGAAAAAATCCCCTCTGTTTGCATTTCTGATGACCATTCTGAACTCAAACTCATCCACACCCATAAGCTCCCTTCGTATCTCAGTTCCAAAAAGATGGTCATGCTTCCGGCCTTTGCACTGCTCCAAAAAGCTCATCAAACTCCAGCAAAGATGACTTTAGTTTGTCTCTGGCTTTTCATACTTTCAGCAGCCCACGACAGAACCTCAAACTTTGCTTAATCCTTTGAATTAATTCCTGCAAAGGATCTCCTGCTGTAATATTCTTCATTGAGTTCTTGTTTGAATCTACTGTGGGATAACCGTTTATTCTATAAAGAACACAAAATAACTTTTTTTTTTTGCATAAAAGATAGATTGTAACAACCACCATAAAAGTGTCGGAATTACAAAACAATCAAAAGCCAAAATGGTTTCTTTTATGGAAAATGAAAGAGTCACAAGGATATGCTCAAATTTATTTGCAAAATCTCATCTTCAAGAGATAACATGAGAAAACCTCATACAAATAAAACAAAAGGAGAGAGAAACCATGAGAGTGAGAAGAGAACAGGATTTTCCTAGCTAGACATTGGATGGTTGAAAACGTATTCAATGGCAAGAGGGCAAGAATCAATCTTATCAGCTTCTTTGTCTGGAATCTCAAGCTTGAACTCCTCTTCAATAGCCATCACTATCTCCACAGTGTCCAAACTATCTAACCCCAAATCCTTCTGGAAATGAACTTCAGGAGTCACCTGTGTGTGATTCACTCGTCAAAACTCAATCACAGAAACATTAAATCTGAAACAGTAGCAGCTTACTAGCTAAAGCCATTATTATAACCCTAACTACCAATGCGACATCGTTTCAGATACCATTTTGTGTATATTCCTATTGACATAAATTAAAGGTAACATCTACGATTTGATCCCAATCAGACGTTAAATTTTATGAAGACTGAAAATGACCTTAGCTGGATCGACTTTAGGGAAGCACTTGACAACATCGAGAACTCTGTCGACGACTTCCTGCTTGCTGAGATGATCATCGTGCGAGGAGAAAGCACGGATCGAACCAAGGAAACCGGTTTGAGACTGATTCGATCCCGTCACCGGAACCCTAAGGTGACGAAGGATTGCAGTTCTCAATGCCATCTCCGTCGATCTCGAGATTTAGGGATTTTGGATGAGAGTGATACACGACACGAAAGAGGCGAAAAGGGAATACTAGAAGGCACGTTCTAATCACGTGCCTGGTTTATAAGCCCAGCCCATGTTAATTTATGGGCCTTGCTTTTAAGCCCATAATATTTTTGAATTTTATTAAGTGTGTGTTTAACTTCCTGTATGTTGTAAATTATCACCTAATAGTTTTCTAATTTGACTTAAATAACCCCCGCTGCTCTTCCTTTTTTCGGCTTACGGGCGAATAGTGGAAACTAGTTTCTCCCGCGAGATCTCGACGTATCACTCAGATCCGTGCTTGTAGTTTTGATCTCGAGGAATCATGGCTCCAGTATCGGCGCTCGCCAAGTATAAGCTCGTGTTTCTCGGAGATCAATCCGTTGGGAAGACGAGTATCATCACTCGATTCA